CTTTGCTTCATGTCTGAACACAGGAACCACTGGGGCCTCCATACTGAGAGCATTGAAGAGACAGCTGCTCCACTCAGAGTCTGGACCGTAATGATTTCCTCATGTTGTCCTGGCACCCCCAGCTGAGAGTGGTCCATCATCTTTCTCCCACATCCCCGCACCTTGATTGCAAATTCTTTCCCCACCCTTCATCCATCCATCCTTTAGTCACTCTCATACTACTTCACAAACTCTCCCAAACCAACTACAGGTTGGTTTTACTCAAAAGTCACTGTACTATCATACCAACACTTCATGATCCTAAAATCAAATACACCTGTTCCATCTGCTTAACACGTCATTTTTGGTCAAATCACCGCAATTCTGCAAGTAATTGTGGTCCAAAACATCTTGCATGGGATAATGAGTCTAAGGGCAGGGAGGCTGAAATACACTTTCATTGATAAAACTTTTCTTATTTCTTCTTTATGATTAAAGATTGTTCAAGTGAATAGCATAATGTTAATATCAAGGGCAGAAGCTCACAGTAACTCCAAGCTGAAGCAGTATTTTTAATAAGACTGAAGATAAAAGAAAGTTCTTCAGTTAGTTCGTCCTTCCTGGTTTGACACGCTCTACTCTCCTGGGAAAGTTGAAGGCTTTATCGATGTCCGGTCCCTTCAGGGCACCCAAATGTCTTTCTCAGTGTAACAGTTTCTGTCCCATTTTCAGATAAAAGCAATCCAACTCAGGCATATTGTTGATTTAAATGTAGCTACAGAGGATGGTTAATATTTTTCATAATGAGCTTACAACATGTTAAGTAACCCTTTTATTCAAACAAGCCTGATTTGACCCAATATTGTTTCAGTTAATGTTTAAATGTGTCTCCTTTTGGCTGTAGCAAACAGTTGTTTCATTGAAATCGTCTCAACCCTCATTTATCTTCTAAACCCCATTTTTTATCTTGTCCAGCACCAAAGTCTGACTTCAGCAGAAACCTGCTCCTCTTTACATCAGTCCAGAAGCACTCATTATTAGTCTGCATCTGGGAGACAGAGGTGAGAAAGAGAGAAAGTGAAGTGGTGTTTCTAACTGCACAGAAGACACTTTGAAAGAAAAAAGAAAAGAAACAGACAAAAGGCTGCTGAACATCAGCAGAGTATTAGGTTGGGTTGCTGGATAGAGTAAAATCCTCTTAAAACACTATCCATCCACTCATCCCTAACCTTTCACATTAAGTCCTTCTCAAATACCAGCCGAGTTAATTTGGCTGTGTGTTGATGAAGGCTACTAAGGCTACGTTAAGTTCTTGAGTTTATAAAATAAATTCTCACAGAGTTCAGTGTTGGTTCCAAACATCAAAGCATGCTCAAATGCTGTCAGCAACCATTGCTGTAAGAAAACTATATGAATGTTTATTCACTTTACATAATGTTCACTCATTTCACAATATTGGAAACAATTAGATATTGAGACTATTCAGAAAAGCATTTCAGCGCCAGCGCCAGCGCCAGACACTTGCATTGCACTGCACTCCTGAGAATTTCCAAATATGATCAGGGTAAGCTGCATGTGTGAATGTAAGAGGACATGTTTTTTCCCTGCCAGCCTCCTATAAAAATATCTGCAAGAAGTCAGGATGAGCTGATGTGTGAACACAGGAGGAAAATCAATCAATGGAAGTGGGGTTGCTGATGTTTACAATCCAATATCATATATTGCACATGATCCTTGTAGTCAATCTCCTCACAAGAGAGAGAATCTTTCTGGTATGGTGTGATGGACTTCCAACAAAAGTTGTATAGCATTTAATACAACTCTAGTATGGCCATAGACTGTATTTAACCTGATGTAGTCTCAGTGACAAACACTGAGGAGGCCTTATCAAGCCCAACATTGGCATTAGCCAATGTTGCCTTTTTTTTTTTTGATCCAGTAGATGTCGCCCTTGAGCCCCAGCATGAAACCAGAACAACTTGCGCTGTATTGTTGTGTTAGCATGCTAATGCTAGAGATCTTTATTATGCTCATATCTTCACACTGCATGTAAATTTACCTGAAATGACCGTGATCTAGAAATGCTTACTGACATTCAATTAAGCAGTGAGTACAGTATGTTATTCTTCTTTTCTCTAGTCCCTCAATTAAACAACTTTTATATGCGAGGGTCCCGTCAATGTAAACAAACTGAAGATAGGACTCGGAAAGCATCACAGACAGTGGGACTCGGGTGTTACACACATTGTAGACAGTCATGACTCACAGAGTTATTTTCAGAGGATATACTTGATTTCTATTACATTTAAGTGTGAAAAATCGCAGGCCTCCTGGCAAACAGCAACAACCTGTCAACTGTGAATAACATGTCAACCACGCAAAATTATCCATAAGTCTTAGCCTTTATTATCGAAACAGATGGGTTATTAAAAGAAAAATAAGCCCCTCACAGTGTGTGTATACGAATACAGAAATGGGCTGTTAAGAAAAAAAAACTTTTCTTAATAGGCTGCTAAGCTTTAATTCTGCTTTATTGGTATCTTAACATGGGTGTTAATGGAGCTTCCTCAGCTTTAGTAGGAGGAGTAGACACTCATGGAACTGAACTTTTTTTGCACTTCGTTTATTTATGGTTTCCTGTGTGTGCGTGTGTGTGTTTGTGTGCATGTATAAATGTGTTTTTTTCTTAAGTAAGTAAGTTCGCGATAAAAACCACAACTACCACTCCTAATAATAACATTCATAGTCATCATCATAATAACCAACTTACTGTATTTCTAAAGACAAATGAGCAGCTGAACTTGGCAGACTAGACGGGCAAGAACAGATGTTTACAGACGGGAAGTAACATCATCCGTGCTTCCCTCTTTGCCCCCGTAAGCACTTTACAGTTCCAACTACTTCACTTCCCCTTTCACCAAACAACATGCAAAACACACTCTATAAAGACATCTTTACAATATTACCATACCCACAGATGAACAGTTTTGTATACTGTTGCCCTAATACAGGAACAACAGATGAAGACGGTCATGCACAAATGAAACTAACCAAAGATGTTATTTCATGTAAGTGTGACTGCTCTGCATTGATATTTTTATAGCTCAGTTCAGTGACACTTCAGACTGTTTGACTTGAGCTTAATGTCTTTAGACAACTCTTTTTTTTGTTTCTTTTTATATCTTTAACACAAATGTTGATGTTTGGAGAACACCAGCATGTGACCTGGTGCTGGTGAAATAGTTACAAAATTCTCAGGGTGAATGGTAATATTACTTCAAAATAATCAAATGACATCATCCTAATCTTTTGTGCCCAGCTGGGAGAACCTCCTTGGCCGGGGCTGTGTATTGATTATTATGGTTCTCTCATCTGGTATGTTGACAAGAAGCAAATACATACAGGGAAGTGAAATGATGCTGTTTAATGTTTAGTGATTCAGCAGTTGGCTGTTCACCTGAAGGGAAAGGACACTGCAGCTGCACTTTGTCTGCTCACTGAGCTGCTGCACACACACATTTAACACTGAAAATCTGTCTTTTTAAATCAATGTGTTTTCTTTAATGGGAGTATGGAGAAACCCTTATTTAGCCTTGAGTTAGGAAGGGTATGCCACATGACACACACACACACACACAAGACTTTCCATTATATTGTTGGACTCTTTGAGGAACATAGACTACTGGACTGTTTGTGCTGTCTCTGCTAGTACCTTAGCTACAGCCAGGCTAGCTTCAACTAGCGTGTGCCTGGACTGTGAGTGTGTGAGGGTCCAAAACTTACTTCCACTAAATTCTTTACACAATCTTTCCACTACACCCTCTCCTTGTCTATTTACTATCCCATTTATTCTCTTTTATGTTCCTCTCCTGCCTTCCTGTTCAACTTGTATGAGCCTACTCAAAAGGTAGAGGGCGCTGTTTTTATACTCTTCTCATTTTTAACATCAGAACAGTACACTTCAATACTTAAAACTTCTAATCGTTATTAGTTATGTTAGTGATCACATTCATAAGCACATTCAATGATTTACAAACTTTTACACACCAGTAGCCGATATTCAACCAGAGACAGCAACCATCTTTATGCTTATGATACAGTGACTGATTATGTTCCCTTCTTACGTTTAAGAAGCAACATTAACAACACAATTCAGCCCAAACATTTCAAGAATGTTTGCTGACCTGTGGGTAGATTGAGGCTACCGTATTTGTACATCAGTATCACAGTGTGGCTTGTTGAAAACACCAGCAAGCGGAGAAGTCCAGTCGCTGACTGTTAGCATAGCCACTTAGCATAGCCACTGTCTGAACACTCAGAACGGTTTTATCTTCCTTTGTTTGTATAGGTTGGTAAACTCAGGGGTTGTCTTTGGATGCTTTATTCATTTTTCCATTCATTGTCTGAACAATTAAAAATTAAATAAATAATAAAAAAAATCAGTTATCTTCCTTATAAGAAAGTTTGTCTCTCTCTCTAACAGATACATTTAAATGTGTCTATCTTCAACACACTAGTTTGCTTTCCACTGTCACAGTCAGGTTGTCTTTCTCCATTAAAGCTCTGATTTTCTGGAAGAGTAAAGCCTACACTCTGCGCATACACCTTTTATTATTTATTACATTTTATTCTTTCCATCTCAGCAGTGTTGTACCTTGCTGGTGGTGCAAGTTATCACAGAGTAAGCTCAAGGGTCTGCGGTTAAAGAAGAAATTGATCAACAACTTTTTCATGACTAATTCAGAAATCATCATCATATCATGTCATTGCACTAATCTACTTAAGTCCTTAGAAACATTGTTTTTTATGTTGCCAGTTTTTCTTTTAACAAATTAGTCCTTATAGTCAGGACAAGATGTTTAACCAAAATAACCTGATAAGTGAATGAGTGTAAGCCTTTTTCTTTTAAATTTCTAGTAAACAGTTGACAGGATGTTGAACACGGGGGATTTCTCTTGAACTGCTTCAGAAGCAACAAGAGGTTGCACCATTGCAGGAAGTAGCAAAAGATGTGGGAAATGAAATGCGAAGAGGCTTTATAAAAGACCTGATAGTTCATCGTGTGATGGGTTAAAAATTTGTCAGAGAGCTATTTGTGGCCTGCCGCTTTGCACACGAGAGAAAGACAGAACAGCATGGAGACGCTTCTTTTTCTATTTCCTCAATTCAACTACATGGCCCCAAAGGAGGAAGCAGGTTTCAAAATGTTCTGCCCTGAAGACTTGCAGGCACCAAAGATGAAGGACGATACAAGCAGGTTGGTGTGTGAACCTCAGTCATTTTTAAAAGCTTGTTATGTTTTTGAAAAGTTGTCATTTCATGGTATACTTTGGAGAACGTTATTTTAACCTAATACGGTATCTTTTATGAGCGTGACCGAAAGCAACCACAGCTTCCACTTTGTAAGACTGGTGACTTTTCAAAGCTGCTGTCCTCCATGAGTCACTGCAGTCTTTTTGTTAAATCACATGTCCATATGCGACTTGGCTGGTGTTTTATATTGTACCACAAAGATTTGTGTAACTTTTCATGTACACGGCTTTGGAGATGTGTCTATGACTTGGAATTCTCTGATAAGCTACTGGTTTTACGCCAAAGCTGCACGTACACCGTTTTTGAAAACTTGAAATATTTTCTTCTTGTGTGTTTCCAGACAGAAAGACAAGGAGAGGAAGAGCCGACTCAGCCTTTTTCTCACCAAGTCTGGCTCGCACGAAAATGTCAGTCCCAATAAAAAGACTAACACGACACCCAGCAAGTGAGGCAAAGTCCATTAATTTCATAAACAGGCAACTTTGTTTTTGACTGTATATTCATGACCAAACTCAGTCTCCAGCTTCTCTCCATGACTCAATGCACACGTCTACAAACACAACATCTCATGATAATCCACAACTTTCTCTGCTGCATCATTAGGAATGACCTGACCTCATCTCTGATTTATTTATTTTATTTTTTTCAGCATTTCACCAGAGGCAGCTCTGCAATGGAGCGACTCCTTTGAAGAACTGCTGAAGCACTCAGGTCAGTTTAACGCCTCAAAACTTAAAAAAAAAAAAATGTGTCGACAGTCTTGTTGCCAAATAGTTTTTCTTCTGCTGTCAAGTAATCTGGTCAAATGTGCCAGAGGCTGAATAGTTAATGGAGAGAAGTTGAAAGTTTCACTACAGCTTTAATGTTTGTTAGCAAAAGATAGTTGCACTGAAACTGGGCAACTTCCTCATCATGACATAAGTTGTACTTACTTAAGTGGCACAGTGAAACAAAGTAAACCACGGTGTGTGCTCATTGTGGAATACTTTATACCATGTACCTGTAGTCATGAAGATAGTACTGATGCAGAAGTGCATTTATTAAATTAGTTTTATTAAAAGTTTGTGAGTTAAATAAAAATGCAGTGGCTACATTTTTATGACTTTTAGAAGAGGAAGTTATGGATGGTGGATTCTTCCTTTGCACATACTGCTGCAATCAAAAGTGGGCACAGAAATTACAGATTGTTCAGCAATCCTGCTTTGTATAGTGTCCCTATTTAAACTATGTCTCTGTCTCTGTTTCTGTACTTTAGATGGGGTTGAAAACTTCTCTCAGTTCCTCAGGACAGAGTTCAGCGAGGAAAACATCGAGTTCTGGTTGGCCTGTGAAGAATACAAGACCATAGATTCTGAGACAAAGTTGCTGTCCAAAGCGAGATGTATTTATACAGTTTTTATTGATTCGGACGCCCCTAAAGAGGTACGTCAAGGCATACTTATTAATCAGAAACTGCACAGATGTAGATAGGCAAGAAAGAAAAGCTTCAAGGCTTAAACAATGTGTGCACTTGACCATGTTTTCCCTTATTGGTCATTGCATACTGCTGGAAGTTTCTAACATTTATGTCATTGTAATAAAAACCAAGAGTGGGTTCACTGTAAAGCTCTGCATAGCCATGAGCCTGCAGCAAGTTGACCTTTGTTAACAATTGTTAGGAACAGCAGCTTGGTCAGGTCATGCATGTATTGTGCTTCATGCATAGTTGCTTCATTCATAGTTGCTAAATGGGTCTGGTTATTTCTGTTGGATACAGAAGCGGTTTGAAATGTTTCCGTCTCCTTTGCGAGGATGATGCGACCACCATCCACAGAGCTTCCTGCCTATAGTACATCTGACCGTTAACAGTTTGTTGTTTGGTCTGAGGTTTCGATATTCCTCTGCAGAACTGCAGAGAGCATCACCCACTCACTGTCAGTCTCTGATGAATGTATATGTGAAAGACGTTTTAAAGTATGCTGCTCCAAATGTAAATGGATGTAATCTTCCACATAAATGGTGGCAGATTGAACAGTTCAATGCAGATGATTGTTTTCACAGCTTTATTCACTTTCATTGCTGTGAAGAGGCCTTGCAACTTATAGTCTTCTAAAGTATAATAATTGTTTCATGACAGCTTGGTATAACCAACATTGCACTTTTCAACATTTTTAAACAAACAACTCTTTCCAAGAGCAATAACCATAAAATGAACATTCATATCTGTGATGATATCCACACACACACTGATGTTTCATAGTGACAGTATGAGCTTTAGTATTACATTACCTCTCCCTTTAAAGTCTCAGTCTTATTAGGTCATAAATAACACAGATTTCAGCTTTGGTTCACCGTTAGTATATATCAAAGAATGCTCAGTTGTTGATTGTGTCCTTGAGGAAAAGAAGATCATCTTGAGCTGTTTGAGGAAAACACATTTCTCAACATAAAAGCAGCTTATGTATCTTAACAGTCTGAAACAGTCTGAAATAGTATCTAAGTTTGATGTCACGTGCCTCTCATGGTTGATTCCAGTGTTTCCCCTTTCATATCGTAATTATCTGAGGTGTTGTCAATGCAACCTCTGTTCTGTTATCGTGCTGTTATAAATCTTATAAACAGATATCTGATAAGATATTTGTATCGGAACCTTTTCTTTTGTTGTTTGCAGTCTGAGTAGTCTTAATCGGGCTTATCTCGCATACAGGAAAAAGAAGAACATTAGAAGCAGAAGCAACTGGCCAAAATGCTGTCGTGGAACCCAGCAGATATCATCTGAATACCAAAAAGTTCTTTCTAATCTCTTATCAGCGTCTAAATAAGCTACCTGTAAAAGCTAGCTAGTCTCACATCTCCAATTGCTGGTTGAACTGTAAAAAATAGAATGAAAGAGGAAGCCTGGCCTGTAAATTTGTTACCTTGCTAACCAAAATAATGTCCTTAATTTTGGTGCTGTTGTTGGGTGAGGGTTGTTGCTGCTGTATAATTTCAATGATGAAATCGGAAACGGAATATGGCAAGAAGGAAGACCTCAGCTTGGCTCGTAAATGTCAGACATATACATTTCATTCTTAGAAAACCTTCGCTTACAACAGACAGTTGGCTCCAAACCAAATATACCTCTACAGCAATGAGATGTTTTACATAGATATGGTTACTGCTTCAACCTAAGAGAAGAGTTACTCTTAGATGGTAGACAGATTTAAATGGTTCATTCACAAAGTTACCAAAATGTATGAATTCATAAAAATTTGTACTTTCAGCTGTCAAAAACTAAATCCAAACACAACTCTTAGATGGTGCATCCCGATGAAGACAAAATACAACATTTCCCTTGTTTCCCATCTCTAAGTAACTGTGTTTCTTCATTCTTCCCAATTTCCTTTCTCTCAGGTCAACATTGACTACAACACCAAAATGGCCATCCAAAAGGACATAGCAAAGCCCACAAAGAGCTGTTTTGAAGCAGCCCAAACGAAAGTGTACAGCCTGATGAAAAAAGACTCCTACCCGAGGTTTCTCCAGTCTGACATTTATCTGCGCCTGACCAAGAAGAAAGGCCCCGGGGCCACCATGTTTCGCAGAAGGTCACGCTCCTGTGTATTCAACGAGAGAGGCGAGGCCACAACTGAACCTTCGGCCTGGTAGTCTAAGCGTAGCAGGCGTAGCAGCTTAAATAAAGTATAATCCATGTTTTGCAGCACAATTGTTGAAATGAACTGTGCGGTGCAGAAGCTAATTATCCACAATTTTGTGTCTGCAGAATGTTTTCATAACCACATGGGTCAGGAAGGTTTATCCCAAATACTTAGTACCATGACAACTTTACAACTTGAATTTTATTTTTTTTGCTTTCTTGCCAAAAGGTAGATTAGTCTCAAATGTGTATGGTATTCATGTTACTATTTCTTTTTTTGCCTTTGTCAGACAGGACAGTGGATAGAGTAGGAAACTAGGGACATAGAGAGTGGGGACACACATGTGGGAAAGGAGCCACAGGCCGACTTGAACCTAGGTCGCACTCTTGGAGGACCATAGCCTTCGTACATTGAGCGTGAATTAACCGCTAGGCCGTCTGGCCCCTTTAGATGGACTATTTCTTAGCTGTTGTGGTTACTTCCATTCCATGTTACTTACCTGATTGACTCAACAACACTCAACACTGCAGTTTAGCTGACTGCTTCCCCTTGTAAACACTCCATTTGCTAAGCCAGACAGTCAAACTACTGGCAGTGGTTGCTTTGGGGTCTTGGGTGCTTTTTGCACTGGCAGTCTGGTGACACATGCCCTTATGTACCATACAGAGAGTTGTCAATTATCGTTTATCTTACTGGTGAATAAAATTAGTTCCCAAGTTGTTTGGAGTTTTACTTCAAACACAGTCTTTTGGCTATTAAAATACATTTAAAGCTATACTAGTACTTATTGGGACATATGCTTTTTCATTTTGTTGGAAAGAGTTAAATAATCTAATGATTGTATGGTATACATTTTACTACAGCCAACTGATCATTAGCTTACCTTAGCATAACCTTAATAAACCAAATGGAGGAAACAGCTAGCAGGGCTTTGTTCCTGGGTCACAAATTGTGCTTCTAAACCTCCAGCACTGAGTTTAGTATAATGGTAATGTGTTGAATAATGACTAAGTAGAGTGTAGTAACTTCTTTGCCAGTTAACTACCTCACACTCAAACAACACTCAATTAGGTTTAACTAGCTGTTTCCCCTTGTTCCTTTATTGAATGATTATTTAAGATAACTGGCTATTGGCACTAGATTTACGTCTACCATTCCGAGAGTGGTATCAATTGTCAAAGTAGCGATTAAGCTAGTTTCAATGTAGTCCAATCATGCCTCTAACCAATATTGTACACATCTGAAATGTGGCTAACTATAAAAATAGAATTTAAAAAGGTTATACAGCCAGTACATCAGAACTATGTGGTTATCTGAAAATAATGGACACATTTTGGCCAATCAGAATTTGTCTTGCCTGTGGTCATGGTGTAAAAGTATAATGGAGCACTTGTGGAACAATCTATCCATTCTCTTTCTCAAAGACATTGTGCTGCGTGTGGATTAAACTCGTATTAATGCTGTTGTACCTTCTCAAATCTTCAATACTTGAATGACAGCAAGACAGTGTGACATAGAGTCTCAGCTGCTGCAGACAGTATTCAGCATGTCGATCAAGCAGTCACACTGTGTTCCCTCTTCTTACTTCAGACACAATATGCCTCAATAGCTTTGTCTTCAAGTCCAGCAATAGCACTTTTTATTGGACCACATTTAGACATTTAATATGGCGTACAAGGTAATTGGCCTTATCTAATTCAAATGGAATCATGATTTTATCGCTGTTGTTATCCCATTCCTTTCAGGCTATGTTGCAGTAAAAGCCTGCAACCCTGGTGACTGCAAAGCACTGAAACTTTTTTTCAAGCTATACAAACTTATACTATTTGTGTTATGGAAATATATATGTATTTATATATCATTTCCAAACACAGAAATGCATATATCTTATTTGAATACTAATATTAAATTAAATGAATTATGATTGCTGTTTTTTTCATTTCCTACCGTTCATTATATTTATGTCTTACTATGATCATATGTTTTGCTTTGCTGTTGTAAAATGTACACAACTGTGATATGCAGAAATAAACACTTCTTTATTAAAGCAGTTTTAATGAAGCCTTTAGTGTCATTAATTAGTTTAAATGACCACATCTATACAAAACAAATGAAGCAATAATGTGTGCATATTACACTAGTGGGGTGAATGACGATTGTGTAGCTCCTTATTCCAATTCACTGAAAAATGAATAGACCTTATCAACTCCCAAGACTCTCACACAGAATTATTCATGTTACTGTATATGTATGCACAGGCTTTTCTTCTTTCAAAGACAAATACAAATCAATTCAAAGCTGTCTCTGATCCCATTTAGTTAGCCCCTGAACCTTTGGGTAGTTCTGCTGAATAAAGCAGCACATACATGTGCACAGCATAAAGCTGTTATTCACAAATATGCACACTGAGCTGGTTTGGCTCATTAACACAAATACTGGATACTTTCCAGGAGCCTTCAGAGGGATAAGGCCCACCTCATCCCAAATTACTATCACTTCACAAACCTGCATGGAATACCTTGCAGTTCACATTAATTATGCATCAGTGTAGAAGGCAGTGGCATGCATTTTCTGCAGTTTCTGCTGTCTTTCCTCACAAATAGTGGCAGAAGGAAGGGAAAGTGTAATGATGTGTTAACAAAGGTAGGAGCTCAGCCAGTCTGCCAAATTCATCAAAGCTTAAGATTAGTTGCCTGCTAAGAATTTGCTGGCAGATTTCTTGTTTCTTTCCCATTGGTATTTAAATGTGTGACTCAGTCTTTGAAAAATCCTCTTAAATGATCCATAAGTTAAAGACGTTTTTGCAAAACACCTTGTAGGGACACAAAACACTTGGAAAGCAGTTTCCAAATAGTTTGTCAAATAATGGATTATTTTAAATGCGGCTTATCTCAATTAAATGTGTTTCTTTCTTAAAGATTATTCAGTCTGTCAGTGGATTTTCACCGCATACAGCTATCCAGACATCATAGAAGCTTTTAACCAACTCCACGTGAGACAAATTTAGTCAAAGTTTGCTGACTTCCAGGCTCAGATATTAAGTTGTGAAAAGTTCCCCTTACAAATCGGTGTGGACTGGAAATATTTGATAGACCATAATTTAATTCAGGGTAACTGTAAACAAGCTGTGTTCAGTTTGAAAGGCTTAAGGTGAGACTTCATACCTTTAATTCAAAGTAGACATACTTCGACGTATTGTAGCGGAGAGAAAGATACAGCTGAAAGCCTGGCGGACAAATTTAAAGTGGCCACATGTTCATCAGTGAGTAGGCAGCAGGTGGATTATTTTAGGGCTGATCTGTGCAGACAGAAGACTTGCAGAGATAAAAACAATTCTGTGAGAAAGACTTTATATGTCAGCTATAGAGCTATTCAGGCTGGTGAAATCAAAGTTTCTAACTTTTTTGCTCAGCTATAACAGTCACTTCCAGCAGCTCATTGATTGTTAGAGATAGAGGAAAGAAAGTTCATCATAAGACAATATAAAATGCATCAGATGTCATCTACTAGGGCTCAGCAGATGCTTGTCTTAGAGTTCTTCTATCTTTGAGTTTGAGTATGGTTTGATTTATTATTTAAGAGCAATCTCAAGTTGCAAAAAAATAGGCTTGAAGGATGAAATCAGGTTGAAGGTCCCTTCAGGATTCTTCTCTTTGTTTTCATGATACAATTTGAGACACTTTGTAATAATTTAAAAAATAATGTTAACAGAAAACATTTCAGAGGTAAGGAATCTTGTTTAAATAGGTTTTAGGTTATATCAACACACTCTAGGTCTAGAGAAGCATGTCCCAATGAAAGGAACAACAGTGAAAAGAAACACACAAATTCAAAGGCGTCATTTACAGAGAAAGGTTGACACACAGTGTATAAGTAAAGCAAGAAAGGAGCACTTAGGAGGACAACAGTGCTACCCTGTGTGTGAAGAGAAAATTACACCTTGATAGTAGAGGATTAATGCTGTATCAAAAGCAGCACATTTATTGTAGGTGTAAGTATAAAAACAAATAAATTATATTTTTTTACATGTAAGAAGTCTTTTTTCTGAACTTGAACTATTAAGAAGAAGAAGAAAGAAGCTCACAAGAAAAGAAAGCGTCTTGAACACTCAAATATGACACTCTTCGATGCAGTCTTTGTAGGCTTACTGGCCGTGCCTTTTTTGAAAAACAAATTCCTGGACCTGGTGTGTCGGCACACATGCAAATAGGGGCTGCCTGGGTGTTTTCCATCACCTGCTGTGATTTACATTCTTGGTTTGTTTGGTGCCCAGCATCTCCACTGGCGGTCAGGAAGGTCAAGACGAGATAAAATGCAAATGTATTAGGAGTCACTTTTTAACATGACCTGCATACAACGGACAGATGCGAAGGAGCTGATGTAGGGATACGTATATGATCACATGACTGAGTGAAGCTATTCAGAAATATCTTTCTTGTTTTGAACTCCTTAAATCAATATAGATTGTTGTGTAGATTATTTTACAAGTTTAGGGAAAAAGCTACTTATTTATGTTTATTCATAATGTATAACTCAAGTCTCTATGTCAAATCTCCACAGGTTCTAGTTTAAGCTGTCTGACTTCACATTACTCTATTACTTATAAACAAATACTTACTAACTGGTAATGTTTCTATCCTTGTTCCGATTGTTCACGATATTTACGCCCTGCGACATCACAGGAGCGTAATGGGGGGGACGAAGTGATCCCACCACTGTGCCAGAGTCAGCAGGGGAGAGCAGTGTTGTGTGTGTGTGTGTGTGTGTGTGTGTAAGTGGAGCTCCTGCTGTTTCTCTACACATGGCGCTTTTGCAATGCTGTAACGCAACGTGAATGCACAGACTGGTACAATCTTGAGCCGTTGCAGAATCAATATGAATGTACAAAGATGTAATGATGGCAGAGCTGTTATGGAATCATGCTTTGAAAAGAGCTTCTGATTATCGGTTCCACCATTTTCATTGATCTTTAAAAATCTCAGCAACTCCTCAATGGATAAGAATGACATTTGGTGACGACATTTGAGTTCTCCAAAAGATGCATTTTCCTGACTTCTGTAGTCACCTGACCTTCCCTTTGGCTACAATATGTATTTAAGAGACTGCAGATGTAAATTAGCTTCAAGCTAACTCTGGTACAATGCATGAAATGGCAACATGTAATTTTGATATTGTACATGATCCCTTTACATATAAAATCAATTAAATTAATATATCACTCTGAGACAAAGGTGCTGGAAGTCAAGCAAAAATGGACACCATCAAGTATGTCAGTTATTGGAACAGACTGTAAAAATAAAGGACATGTGCCTTTATTTAGCCATGAGTTTGGCATTTTGGATTTTGAAACCAGACGTTAGCATTTTTAGATGAGAGGGTTGGTAAACTAAAGGTATCAAGTTATTCAGTTGGTGTGGTTGCTGGTCAGATTGGTCTGGACTGGAGAAGCTAAGAGAGCTTGAGAAAAGTATAGACTTGCCACCTGCTTGCATCCTGCTACATCTGCGGTAGAGTGAGCAATGAGTAAACTCCACAAAACCAATTCCAATAGGGAACCAGTCCTTTCATCACCATGACTTATTGTATTCTCTGCTGGGAATAACAGACAAAACTGACTCCCCTGCACTGGCTTCCAAAAATAAGTCTATTTATGCCAAACACTGAACAAGCTGACAAACTGGACACAAATAGCAACGCCTGCTGGTCAATGCTAACATATGAATGATGTAATACCAGATACACACTCACAGAAATACACTTCATTGACTATTGATAACTTACTGACTACTTACAATTGGTTAGTACAACAGCAGCAAAACATCAGGTTTTTATAACTATGCATGCAAATCTCCAAAGGGCACCGACACTACGAACACAGACAAATATTCTGAGTGAATTAGCTGTCTTGATGTCTAGCAGATAGCAAGCAACACCCTCCCATATTTTGGAGCACCATCAGTTAAAGCAGTCAGCCACTCATTCTGCATGACTTAGAGCCTGAATGTGATTTAAACAGGTGAGTTATCCAAAAATTCATACTGGTACAGTTTTTATGATGCACCTGTAGCTAATCTCAAGTGGCCACTTCAGGAACTGCAGTTCTTTGGCACTAGCACTTTGGCTTCATTTTTTTTTTAAACCCTGGAGGTTTCCTCTAGAAATAAACCCACATTGAATGTATATTTATACACTATGTCAAGAGACTGAAAAACTCTGAACATGAAAAAGCCTAATCACAAACTTTATGTTTTAAGTTTCACTGATCACCTAAAACAGGTGAATATGTTATAGGTGGCTCATTAATAAATCAGTGCTTGTTAAGTCTTTTTTGCAGATATGCAAATGGTTGGATGACGAGGCTTTTCCTTAATAGTGAATTTGTTTATGGCTATTTGTTTATGGTTGGGATCTTTCCCAGAGCTTCCTGACCATGGTTCATTGCTTTAGTTAAATCATATCATGACTTTGATATGTTGTGCTCTACCACAGATAACCATTAGATCACCATATTCCTCATTATTCTCAGAAACAATGCCCTCTAGTTCCAACTGAGTGTTGACGAACTAGAGTTTTTAATCATAAGATACAGAGTTGAATTATCTCAATTGTATTTATATAGTTTGTCTCCAGTAATGTAAATCCTCTGCCACCTTCATATTGTCACTTACATGTTAATGATCTGAGTTTTGGACAACAGGTGTGGTCACTGGTCAGAATAAATCACAGCCGAGCTCTCTTCTCCTCAAGATGAGGAAGGATGCCCCGTCTCTCCTGACATCCACACTTTGCATACAGATTTCCATATATTCCATCCATGTTGGGTGGGGGTCATTTAGATTTGTTCAGTCCCTTGACTCCCTCGTTTCCAAACAAACACGACTCCATCTTCAGTCTGGCAGGATCTTATCTCTGCCTCCCTTCGTAGAGGACGAGGAGATGGCGATAAAGTGAGTTACTGCACATTTGATTATTGGGCCTTTACCATTTTTCATCAGGAAACAGCTTTACAGCAGCCATGTGGAAAATACCCGGGAGGTTTTCACTCACTGTAAGTCTCACCTTGCATCAGTAAATTCTGAAGGAAATTGTAGAGATTGAAGGTTGATGTAAGTTGCTCAATGAAGGGAGAACAGTGTTTAAAAGTTGCTTTAAAAACATAGGAGATGCTTTGAATAATAATTGATTTGGTCTTGCAGTGTGGTTTACAGGTTGAGTTCACAGATAACTGGGCTAGTGATAGATCTTGATGCTCTTTTCAAGGGTAGATTGTGTTGCTTCCCCAAGGATCCGCTGGAGGATGTTGAGACTTGGGGTGAGTCTGTGGACAAAGTTCTCAGTTGTAAAGGTGAGTTTCCAAATATATAAGTATATAAACAGTATATATACTTATATATATTAATAGCTTCTTGCCATCATGTTTGATTTTCAGCTGGACAGATAGCTTTCCGGCAGTTCCTGAAGTCCGAGTACAGTGAGGAGAACATCTTGTTTTGGATCGCCTGTGAGGAGTACAAAAAAATCAAGTCAGCCCCCGAGATGATCTCATCTGCCAACAGGATCTACTCAGAGTTTGTCCAAACAGAAGCACCCAAACAGGTAAAAACTGCAAGCTTCTCAAAAAAACAACATATTTTTTAAAATATACATTAAAAAGGCCATTGGAGAGTTATATTCTGGATTTAGCTGGCCTATAGGGATGTAGTGACTGCAATAAAGCTGTACAATTGTGCAATCTGTGCAGATAAAACTCCAAACTTTCTTTCAAACTGCACAAAAGTTCTTTCCCCTCTCAACATTATAGTGAATGATAATGAAAAGAGGTGCTGTAAGATGCCCCCGGGCTATATTGTTTGATTTCAGATCAACATAGATTGCGGTACCAGAGAAAACATAACAAAGAACATCTCCCAGCCGACCCTGACTTCGTTTGATTCAGCACAGAAGCTCATCTACAGTCTGATGGCCAGGGATTGCTACCCGCGGTTCCTAAAATCCGACATCTATCAGGGACTCCTGAGGCGAGGCGATTCAAGGTGACTGTTTTAAAACTGACAGCCTCTCACCAAAGGCCCATGAAAAAAAAAAAACATCTCTCCATCTCTGATCTGCTGTAGCACGCTTTGATTTCAGTATGGATAACGGGTTCATGCCAGACAATCCAGCTCCTATGTGTAGCAGCAATAGTTTTTCTCAACCTGTGTGATTCCGTAGACAGATACAGCTCAGAGAATGTTTGGTTTGTATTATACTGTATCTCTTAAATTATATGAAGTTTTGAAAATAGTCTCCAAGGACATTGTGCACATAATGTATCCCTGATGATCTACTTTCTCCTTTCCCCCCATGAGGTTGATAATAAAAAAGAAATCCTTTTATTGTAAAGTATTATCACCAACTCATTCTAATTGATTATGCAAATGATTCAACCTTTCATGCTGTGACAAACATAGCTTTGATGCAAATAAATATGTGAGTGCCTTGTTACACTTCCTTATTTTGTGTTCTGTGAATGGTGTCGTTCATATATGCATTATAGTTGTGTTTTTTCTAAATTGTAAAAAGCAAGAACTAAGTTTACTTAGCTGAATAACATTTGGTTGTGGTTATTTGAATGTAATGCAAATCCTTTTTTATTTATTCATAATGCAAATCCTCTTTTTTTTTATTCAGTTCAGGCAAAACTATGTATAACCAGAGGCATGTCAAAGGGGCAGTCTGGAGTGGCATGGGCCCCCTCCTAGAAACCGATATCGTTCCTTTCAGAGGCAGGGCTTATGTTAAAAATTGTAGCTTCTATTACACTTAAGCATGGAAGTGTATTACTTTGTCCCTCTGTTGTAATGTTAGTACTTAGAGACGCTATATCTGTTTAGACAGAAATGCAGAAATGGTAAATACTGCAGTTTCTATTCAGACACATCTGTGACTTGACTTTCTGCCCCCCCCCCTACCCCCCGCATAAGCTAGCGCCAAAGTTGAGTCATCCAAGTCAAAAAATGCCTTAACAGATCTTAACAGATCTTGTCTCAATCAGATTGAGACAAGAAAATAAATCATTTTTAAAAAGTAAGTCAAGTAGAAACAAAACCCAGAACGTGCAGGACCCCATTCATTTATTATCAAAACAGAACAAATTCTATAGGTCAAAACATACACCAGATGGCAACAAAGTTCTTCAAGCAACAGTTTCATCAAACAAAAGGACAGAACTATCATACACTTCCTCTAACTTAGTGTGGTGTTCCTGCAAAATCTGACTACAGACAGAAGAAGGTTTTACATTTACTGAAACATTTAGAGGAAGTGAGTGAAGCACCGTCTACTGATACATTTTTTTCAGAAAAGCCAGACTACACATGGGCGGGAAGGAGAGCACTTTTGGTGGCAATTCACTCAATGTTGCTGTGTGAGTTCATTGACTATCAACACTTTGAATCAAAAGTGATAGAAAATGCTGTCAGAATAAAATGATTGTCCTTTATGTAAATCCCCTCACGAAAGGAAGATTAGTGCACATGTATGTAGAATTAGATCATATGAGTTACTGCCCTCTGTACTATCAGCTTGTTCGTCATTTTTAGTCTTTAGAGGAATTTTACTAGCTTACATTACCGTCTATGTAAAAAGCATGCAAATAATAGAAGAACACAACACAGCAGGCGTGCAGGCTGCCAACTTTTAGACATCATGTTCAGAACAACAAAACAAAATAACTCAGCATGTGGGATTTGAAGTAACTACTTCATTTTTCACTTTTGGTACATACAACTTTACATTTTTATTCTCTGATGGGTTTTTTTTCAAGTTTGGAAAGTGGAAGTTGGCACAGCAATGAGCATGTGACTGCAGGGTGCAGCACGAACATTTTGTTCTGTTTACATTGTGGCTGAATATACAAATGACTTATTTTAAGAGGTTTTGTTCAACCTTCAGTGTTGTGCGCCGTGCAGACAGCTCACCACAACATCCTCCTGTTAAGATGACTCTTAGTGCACTCTTCTCATTGTGGGTGAAGGATTTAGTTTGTTCAGTTCTGTCAAATATGTGCATTTGAAACCACATGTCTAACCTGCACTCATGAATATGACGCATAACGAACACATCTGCAGTAGAAATAGTTTGCAGGAGTTGAAGTAGACATGAAAGTGAAAGAAACTAAGAGGAAGAGGGGAGTTACCATTCTTTCAGTTGCTAGAGGAAACACACAGATGGGTGTCGCAAGCGATAAAGAAAATGTCTGAGATAACATCTTATGCTGCCACAGAAAGACATCAACAGCTGCATTCAAACCTGGAACGTTTCCTGTAATGCAAACTGACATGAACAGTGTCACTAAACTCATAACATTTAGTTTGACACTTGAGTTGCACTTTTGATGTCACTACTGTTATCAAACTTTCCACTTTAAGTCAAACATGCAAATAAGATAGCTTTGACGCTCCTATCAGGAGTTTTTTGACGTTTTTGAAAAAAACTCAAATGAATGCTGTTGCCTTTGCATGAGCCACAAAAACAAACCATCAGAGACAAGATTAACCATTTCTGGAATACTAGTTTTATTTGTCATATCCCCTGACACAAGATACTGTAGTAGTCTCATGAAGTGAGTTATAGTTCCTGCTGAAACAGCCTTTGTTTACAGTTTCCACAGTGAAGATTCACATTGATGTTTTTGTTGTCAGAAAACACTACTTACATGTGTACAGGACGAGTTCAGCAAAAATATAGAGGTATAACTTTGTCCACAATTGGCACCAAAATGGAGGTCTATGCAATACTATAAATCACATATTCTTTTAATATCTGACATCATTGTTTTGTTCATGTAACATGCATTGGCATACATGATTTTATGTAGGTCAACAACAGAATAAACATCATATTTTTTAGACTTCACATGTGCTTTAGGTAATATTACTGGTATTCACACTTCATGAAAATCATCGAGCATCTGTTCTTGTCAAAGTAACATTATTATCTTACAGTTGTGCAGCTGATCATGCAGCGAGCATTTATTTTCACATTGCAGATTGACACACAAAAAGGGTTATGACACAGGAAGAAGATGTAAGCAGATCACACAGCTAAATGTGAAACATCAAATGTTACAACATGAACAGGAACTTTTACAATTCTTTAAAGTACATATTCTAGACATAATTAAGATCAACAATGTTTGAGCTTCTTTATGTAGACTGACATGTACAGAGTTTTATACTAAAGTCCTTTTTCAAGTGGAATGATATGTTGGTCTGGCTCTAAGTTGTTCCTCCTCTTTGATCCAGACTGAAAAATCTCAACAACTTTTTAACAACATTTATGTTGACCAAAGTATGAATTCTAACTTTTTATATATATTCTAGATATATTCTAGATTCTATTCTGTTACCTGTTGGCTCAGTTTTAACTGGATAGTAAAACCAGCTTCACCTGTTGAAGATTTATATATTAAAGAGTTTTTAGCTGGTTATGAAACAGACTGAAAATGAACATGATGGATGCCTCTTTATGAACTACTTGTATGAGATTATTAATTATTTCTAATTAGATCTTTTTACTCCTGTTACCGCTGCCACTGGGTCTGTGTCAAGATCAGCTGTTTAACATGATGAGAGTTTATTAGGGAACACTACTTAGGTAAGTACAGGACCATCAAAGAGATGAGTACCACTTTGTCCACAGGGGTCGCCAAGAATACCTCAACAATAACATTTCAAGGTCTTGGGATACTGATGCTTAGTACTCCTTTAATTGAGCTTGACAGTGCTACCTCTTCATGTATGCAATTCTAATGAGGCCTTAGTCAGCTGGTATCACTCTGAAACATTTCTATCTGATGTAAACCATAGAGCCGGAGGGCGACTCATAACCGTCAATGATGTCACAGGCATTGTTAGGCAAATCTCCATGACGATAACGTTGAGAGAGCTACCGTTGTATGTCACCCTCTGTTGTTATATTAATGCTCAAACACTAGAAGACTCTGCTCTCAAGCTGCTCTTCACTCTTAACAATAGTTTACTCAATTATTTGTCAACACCAATCACAGGCGTTACTATTTTTGTTTAGGTTTAGTTTTTCTGCCTTTATTTAGAGACAGAAAGGAGGATAGATTCAGAAATCAGGGCGAGAGAGGGTAGGGAATGACATGCAGGAAAGGAGCCACAGGTCGGATCCTGGAGGACCTCCGTCATTGTACATAGGGCACCCGCACCAACCACCAGGCTACCGCCGGCGCTCCTCACAGGCCATTACTTGGTGAGTGGACGCAGCCAAAGAATGCAACTCAATATTATTGGATTAAAGGCTTCAGACATGATCTGCTGTTTACACTGTAAGATTTAAAAATAAATAAATAAATAAATAAATAAATTGTATGCACAGTGTGTTAAGGATTACGGATCCCTCCCCACCAGATGGAAGGATTTGTTAACCATAAACTGGACTTCATTTCTAGAAAACTGTGAGTCAGTTTAAGGCAGAAGTAAAGAGAAAATGAGTAAAAGTCGGTAAGAAACTTGTGCTTGAATGAAAGCCATGGGTGCTATTCTGAACACACAGGTTGTAGTCTAATTTAATACATACAGTAAGTGGATAACAGACATCACCACACTATTAAAGGCACCGCACATTTACAAATAACTGAGAGCTTTTTTAAAGCCTGTATTATCAGGACTTCCTGAAATCATTTATTGTAAGCAGCGCAAGACTTTATAGTAACAGTGGAGGACATCAGAGCCAGAGAGATGTTGACTGTGAGCTGATTCTATACTGTTTCACAAACCTTTACACGCTCAATATGTTACTTTCAAATTGATCTTGAAATGCCACATATACTGTATCTTTGGTTTTCAAGGTATTATTATGGTATGATGAAGTTATTTCTAAAGTCTTACTTTCAAGTGGGACACACACCACTAGGGACAGAAAATATTGACATTGTCATGGACTAAAAAAATAAGTACAAGCACCCCATATCATGTAGCAGGACTGTGGACTTTCACTTTTAAGACGTTCAGAGATGGGGATTGCAAATGGCCTCTGTGTTTTCTCAAACTAGAATCTAGAAGAGATCTGAATTCTTTGCAAAGCTTGAATTTATTGAACAAAAGTTTTACAAGGCTCCAAGTATTGAAAGGGTTAAATTTTTCTCGATGTCATTTGATAAAGCAGATAATAAAGATAAGATAGTTCTTTATTAATTCAAAGGAAATTCTAGTGCTATATTGCACCAAAATTACAGTACAGTCAAATAAGAGTGACAGCAAGAAGCATCAAGTATGAAATATAAACATAAAAAGCCATCCTGTTCACCCGGCACAAAGTGTCTTGATGCACAGCCCAGGTGTCTTATCTATTTTCCAACTGGCACAGTTGTAATTCCCCCACCCAGCCTCGATGTTGTGTAAAGTGAAGTTGCACCCACCTTAGCTCCCATTGGTGTGTTTGACTTCAGTGAGGTGTGCTAAGTGAATTGGTGGCATGTTACTATCT